CAACAACAAGTGTTTAAAGACATATTAAAAACCAGTATCTCAAGTTTTAACAAGCACATATACATGCATTACACTTTTCTAACTGGAAAAAAAAAATTCTCAAAACCAAGAAGCTCTATTAAAGGGACTGTACGGCCACATCATAACCGCCTTCTGATCTTCTCCCATCTGTCATTCTGGCATATCAAAGTACTCACTTAATGTTCTCTCTATTGCAAAAAGGGCTTCTGAAATCATTTCTACCAGTGTATGAACACTTTAAATTAACACATACAAAATACACACTGTTAACGTAATTGAAACTAACAGTGACAATATCTAAACTGTTTTCAGCTAGCCAGAATGCTGGAGTGGCAACAGGGAAAGAATAAAGAACGGCATTCCCACTAACCAGCTGCATGGCCGAAGTCATTTAACCGCCCAGGACCTTCATTTTTTTCTCTTATACAATCACAGTGTTGATGATACCGTCTATATCCATCCACTTCTTCCTTCCCTTTGAGGCAGGGTAGTTTCTCAACTCAAGCAACGTGTCCTTGTACTGAATGCAGGAAATAAAGAACTTCTCCAAGAGCTCCTAGTCCAGTTGGATATGCAGACTCATACGTAAGGATTACATGAGGGCATAATGCCTTGTTAGGAACTTCAAATTTATAAGAAGGCATTGGCTCTCTTCTAAGCTCCAGGGATAGGTACTGATGCTTCTCCAAGAACTTTTCAGGGCCATGGTTAAGACATCTAGTCTATCCATTTGTCACTGTCTTCTCTACTATCACCCTAATCCAAGATCATCTTGGAATACTTCTCATTGGGCTCCTTGCTTCCATTCTTGCCTTCCCAGTATTCATTCTCAACACAGCAGCCCAGAACGACCTAAAAGTTGTATTAGATCACTAATTCTCCTGCTTAAAAAACCTCCCATCATTGCCAAGTGCCCACAGGAGACAACCCAGCCTCCTTCCCATGGTCTACAAGGCTCTTCCATGAGCTGTGGTGTATTTCTCTGACTTCCTTTTGGACCACTCCCCCTGGCCCTTCTGAACGCCTTACTCACCTTATCTTCCTAAAGGGCACACAGCACTAGTTGTTGCCTCTATCTCTAACAGTTTACGGGGCTTTTCACATAGTAGCTTTTCACATAGTAGCTCTTTTCTTACACTTCAGGTCTCACCTCAAATGTCACCTCTCAGAGAGGTCCTACCTGATCACCCTATTTTCACCTAATTATCGGTACCCCTCCCACATTACTCTGTCATCATTCCATTAGAGTCTTTCTCAAAACATAATCAGTTTCAGAATATAATACTGTTCTTTCTCAGAAATTGCTTTATTTAATTGCATGTCATTGCTTCATTTCCCCTAACAGGGTCAGGGCCATCCTCTGTCTAGTTTACTGCTGTAACTCCAGCATCTTGCATTGTGCCTAGAAGGAATGCAATAGATACATGTTCACTGGTCATACATACTACTCACTTCTTGATTTTCAGCAAAAGCCCAGATGAGGAAAACCATGTGATAGAGGACTGTCTGAAGAAGTTATGGTTCATCTTTTCCTTTATGGTCTAAGATATTCTTGTAACAAGCAACCTTGCTCTGATTTAAGCCAGGCCAATAGAGCTACCTATCTAGTCTATTAGCTTTAGCATGCCTTTCTGAATTGTGATTTAGCCTTCTTTGACAGAGACATGCTAAGAAACAGCCCTATGATCCTCAGTGTTGGAAAGGGGTTAAAGAAATGACACTGGCTCCTCTCTGTAAGGACTCTAAAAATAAACTTTTTATCGAGTGTTTAAATCAGAAAAAAACTTGTCCTGAGTATGTAACATTGCTTTTTCTCACGAACACTGAATCACAAACCAGATCCTGTCTCTCGGCATGGGCTACTAACACAGCCAAGAGTCACATGGAGCTTAATTAATATACCACACTTTACACCTCCTGCATTTTGAGGATTGGCCCTACTTCTGGCTTCCTCTTGTTTTCTCTAGTCTCAATATTCTTTTTCCTCTGTTTCATCATCCATATACATTATTTTTATATTTTCTCATTATGGTGAGATGCATTAAATATATTCTGGAATAAGACATATAAATTCAATATTGAAGTATAGCAATGTGCATAATATGGTTAATAGGTGAAAAATCAATTGGTTTTGGGAGAGAGAAGAGAAGGGATATCTGAGATGGGCCTTGATTAATAAGTAGGCTCTCACTAAGCAGAGAAGGGCCATCTTTGCAGATAACAGAGATGGAGAAGGCATATGCTTCCTGAAAAAGGAGCAAAGGAGAGGCAAGTACCCAAACTCTCACATTTAATAAAGGAGCTCTGGTGCTGCAGTGGCTAAGGCATCTGGTTGCTCACCAAAAGGTCTGCAGTTTGAACCCACAAGCCACTCCATAGCAGAAAGATGAGGTCGGCTTCTGTAAAGATTTACAGCCTTGGAAATGCCGTGGGACAGTTCTGCTCTGTCCTATAGGGTCACTATGAGTCAGAATCTACTTGATGGCAATTTATTTTTTTCTTTCTTTACATTTAATAATTTACTGAACATTACTGTGTGTCAACCTCAGCGCAAAGCTCTTTACAACTTTCATTGCATTTAATCCTCAAAACAATCTATGATATAGATTTTATTATCCCCATTTATAGAGAATGAAACTGAGGCTCATAGAGATTAATGGACCTGCCCAAAGTCAGCCTGCTTTTAAGTGCGAAGTGGGGATTTCATTTGTCTGTGAGAAGGTAGAGGGCACTTGACTGTGGTCAGCACATTTACTAGAATTCATCTTCCCTCCCCATCTCCTGTCTGACAAAAGTCTATCCCTCCTTTGGAATGTTCTATCTCAATAGAGAAATAGCACTAACAAGCCAACAGTTATTCCAGCCAGAAGTCTGAGGTCATCTTCAACTCCTCCCCTTCACATCCACTCAATCACTGAAGTCCTGACATTCCACCTCAAATTTCTCTCCCATCTGTCTACTTCTCTGCTTTCCCTTGATAACCACTTAGTAAGAGTGCCCATGCTCTCCCAGCAGGACCACTGCAGCAACGCCTGAGAGACAGAATGCATAATGCTGAAAAGCAAGAACTCTAGAGCCAGACTGCCTGATTTTGAGCTCAGGCTCCATATTTACTACATATGAGAGAGACCCTGGGCAAATTACTTAACCTCTTTGCATCCTAGTTTCATCTGTAAAGTGGAGATAATAATTAGAAGACTGAATAATAAAGAGTGTAAGTACTCTACAAATGCTAGACAGTGTCATCTTTCTTCACATAGTATTCTGTTTTTAATGCAAATATGATCACACTACTCCAGTATTAAAACTTGAAGTGGCTTATTGCCCTTAGAAATTTCTGGCTTTCTGGCTTGTAATTTTCTTAACTCTAGCCATTGCTGGTCATCTTGGAGTTCTTCCAACACACTGGAAGTGATTCCTCAGCTGGTACACCTCAGCTAGTCCCCCAAGTACGTCTATTTATCCTTAAAAAATGGAATTAAGAGTAATTTTTTCAGGGAGGCTTTCTGGTCTCCCAAATGGTTGTTATCTTTGTTATATGCCCCTACAGCTCTCAACCTTGAACTTCCTGTGGTAACTTTTACCACTCTTAAAACTAATTTATTCAATGTCTCTTTCCCACCAGACTGTAACCTCAAAGGGTGACTGTTGGTCCTGCGCTGTAATCCCAAGGCCTAGGCCAGACAGGATAAATATCTACCGAATAAAAGAAATTGGAATGAAGCAAAGTTAAAACTTCCCATGAAGTTTCTGGACCTTTAGTAGCCTCTCACCTATTCTGCTCCTTACCACACCCACAAATTTGGGTGTATTACTCTTCTTCCCATCGCCCACACCTTTTATGAAGAGACCCTGTTGTCAGAAGTGTTCTCTCCATAGGCATCCACAGTTACTGGTCACCCTCTCCTCCAACAGGCCCAGTTGAGATTCCCTCCTACCAGATGTCAAATCTACTTCCATGGACATACTGCCCCCTAAACGCAAGGAGGGATCACTATGAGTCGGAATCTACTCCACAGCAATGAGACCAAATGTCAAAGACATCCTCCTCCTAAGCTAGGTGCATCTCCAGTTGCCCATCATAACTGTCCATCCTTCCCCAAGGTGTCACACAATTTCTGCCCTCAGTTCCTAGAACAACCTCTGGATCTTTCTTCACAATGTCCACCTTCCTAAACTGTCCTCACAACTGTCCACAAAATCAGTCTGCCTCCCCATTTCCCCTCATCCACTCCAACAAACCAATCCCTCCCAAGACACACACAAGTCTTCTACTGCCCCCATCCCAATACTGATTCCTTGCCTTTCAAATAAATCTCCCACGTATACACCTGTCTCTCCAGATAAACCATTCATATCTATTCCTTTTAGGTTTTGTCCCAGCTGCCTCTCCCTACTCTTAATCACTTCCAGTTCCCTCATTTTCATTGTGATCCACTCCATTGTCCAAGGCCCCTTCCAGTCTGCCCAGAGTACGCCTTCAGGTGTCATCCTCCGTACCCAGACATCCCTAGTATTTCTGTCCTGGAAACCCTGCTCGATCCCTGGCGCTCCCACTCCCTTCCAGCCCTCCACCCCCGCTCCATGCATCTCCACCGTTCCCTCCTTCACCGTTCCTCGGATCCTTCCTCTTCCGCCCCCCCCGCAAGTCCTCTCTCACCACATCGCCGGCAGCCCAGACCTGCTCCGGGTATCACACACGCTTCCAGATGTTCTGGTCCCCTACGTGTACGCCCAGACCCCGATCACCCTCCCAACACACTCTCCCTATGCCCCGCACGGCCTCCAGAAGAGCCGGCCAGGGAAGCCGAAGGGCTCGGGGAAAGCGATTAGAGGTCGGGGCACCGAGGGGTCCGACTGGGGAGGCCCAGGGAGTCCCGGAAGCGGCCAAGGAGGCCGGGGGTTTCGGGGGAGGCCAAGGGCCCGGGGAAGGCGAGGGGATCAGGAAGTAGGTCGAGGAGGCGGCGAACGGGCCTCACCATCAGTCACGGCTCCCATGGCGTGCGCGGCGGCGGCGGCGGCGGCGGCGCAAGC